TGACCTGTCCCTGAGTCCCACAGCGGACCGCTCCAAGGGCCAACGTTCGTGCAATCCGAAATCTAGTGTGAAGTCTGTGCATTGTAGTAGGGGATTCGAGCGCTTGAGTAGTCATGGATGTCCTGTGTGTTATGACGGTTTATAATCCAAGGAATCTCTGGCCAGAGTTGATAGTGGGGTGATTAGGGAAATGTGTTTCCCTAAGTCGCACACGAACGGATTTATAATACCTAGAACGTTCGCAAGGTTATTGAACTTTATAAGAGGTCTCGGTGAACCAATGCCTCTAGTTCAATCGGGACATGTTCTGCGAAAGGATCGTACTGTACGCTAACTATATCATAAGGTTCTTGCAGGCACTTCACTTGTATCTAGGGAATCATGATGCGTAGTTGCTAGACGCCAATCTTGATTCGTTGGGCACCGATTTGATCGGGGATTAGGTAGAATGAGTTTTACTCTAATCGGGACTATTGGGAGGAGTTCGTATAAGAACAACGTGTTGTTCGAATCACAAAGAGTTGTGAGCCCACGGCTAGCATACACCTGAACCATTGAGGGTCACACTTCTCGTGTAATATAGATCCTTGATAACAACAAGCATAGATTAATGTGTTAATCTTTGAACGATTGGATGTCGATATGATTGAATCCAAGATTCGTAATTGTGGATTGCGAATCGGAATAAACGTAGAGAAAGAGAGACATGCGGAATTTAGTTAACTTTCTAAATTGGGAAGTTTCCCGATTTAGCAAGTCCACTGAAGTGGAAGTTTCCAATTTTGGAAATTGGAAATTTCGAAGAGGCACTCGTATCGACGAGGACTTTGAGCTCGTCACAAATATAATTTTGTTATAATTTCGTGAACGATCGTTTATTAGAAACGAGGCCGACTAGGGAATGGGCTTAATACATCAGTGGGTCAAGCCCAATGACTTAAACCCACTAGGGTTGAAAACCCTAAGTATGAATAGACCTCAAACAAGAGTTTGAGATCAGATTTTCTGGACCAAACCCTAGCCGCCCAAGCCCTAGCCGCTCATCCCTTCGGCCGTTGCTGCCCCGCCGCGCCACCGCTGATCACCGCCGGTTTTCTCCTCTCTTCTCCTTCGTTTACTTGTTGTTTATCTAACTCGTTTAAATCTAGTGCTGTAGTTCGAGTGGGTCGACAATACGAGGTGAAACCTAATTGGAGAGGAGCTGCTGCCCCGATGAATCCACGCACCGCCGCACGCGCCGCTACGCCGCCCACGCGCCGCCGCTGCTGCTGCCACACACCGCCGTTCGTCGCTTGCTGGATCAGCTTGTTCCAGCCGTGAGTTGCAGCCCCGAGGATTGGTAATTTGCAGCTTGTACGTGATTGGTTCTAGGTTTCGATTCGTCGAAATCTCACGCTACAAGAGGTAAATAAATCGAAACTTTCGTAAATTAATTCGAGCATGTTTGTATGAATTATAATTTATGATTATGAGTAATATGTGATTACGTGTTTCGATTTTATTGAATGATGAACAAGCATGTTTCGTAATTTTCGGTTTTACGTGTTTTTCAATTAAATCGATAATTACCATATGTATGGCGGAAGCGTTAAGGTACGTTGACTATGTGATTAGTTTATGCATGTAATCGAAACTAGTTCGATCTAAAATTTTTAAATTCCGCTGCGTATACATGCACGATCCCCAACAGTGGTATCAGAGCCACGGGTTAATCGTTTATTTGTCAACGTGTTTATCGCTTTCGAAAGCATGCTTCGATTTGTTGAATTGTTTAATTTTTGGTGTTATCAAATTGGGTGGTTTAATATTAATTAAATATTTTGAATATTTCAGAAAATATAAAATTTTTAATTTAGAAAATCGTTTTTTTTGCTGCTGCTTTTGAGCTGACCGAACCGGTCCGGTCAGCACACAAAAAAAAAAAAAAAAAAATAATTTAATTTTCTGAGATTAATATTAAAATTAATTGATTTTTAATTTTTGAAATTATTTATCAATTAAACCCAATTAGATAATTGATCCATTAATTTAATTTGAATTCAAAGAATAGTGTTGGATTAATTATTTAATTTAATCGTTAAATTAGTTTAATTAATGGAACACAAATTAGATGGCAAATAATTAATGGGCTTCATTCTTATTTGATTGATTTATGAATGAAGGGAGTCCGTTAATTATATTTGCAATTAATCGTATTTATTAATTAATTCATGAGATGAATAATTGTAATTAAGTACGATGATGATCGTATGTCTCTCTTAGGATCAATATGCGTTTCCACATACCTAGAGAACATAGTTGTAGGAATCACAAACGATCATAACCTAAAACTTCCGATGAGCTAATAAGATTTAATAAATAAAATACCTCATTCTTAATCAAGAATAATTATCAAGCTATAAAGGAAAAACCAAATTGTTGAATTTTTCTTTCCTTCTACCAACAATTAAATTATGTGTAGCCTCTCATAATAGTGCAGTAAGCCGTGTTAGCGGGGAGTGCTATTGTGGGATAAGCTGTAATTTAATTGACATTAGATGGAGATACGGTCATAGATAAAATTATATTGGATTAATGTGGTCGGCTAGATTAACTAGGGATTGCATTAGTTTGATATAGTTGGATCTATGACATCTCATATTGGTAGGCTAGACTTGACACACGAAGATTTTGATATTCACTATATTAACTTAGGTCATTATCAAGTGTGAGGTAAATCGAACTTTAGGGTCACATAGTGATGTGATTGATAGTACTCAACATTTAGGCTTATGTAATCGGGATAGATTAACTACGGGTTACATTAGCGCTATTGGACCTAAAGCCCATTAAAGAAAAATAAGTTTTCTCGATTGTCTGCTAGAGGGTGGTGGAATTCGATAAAATTAGTGGGAGAACAATTAAAACATAAAAATCCAAAATTTTAATTGTAACGATTATTACGAACTAAACTCTAATTATTGTCTTCTTAAAATTTTCTCAGCAACAATGTCCAAACATCCCCTTTCCTCAATCCTCGACCAAAACAAACTCACCGGTCCAAACTATTTGGATTGGCTTCGCAATCTGAAACTTGTGCTCCAAGTCGAGGAGCGTCTCTATGTGCTCAATGAACGTCCCCCCGCTGCTCTTCCTGCGACTGCTACTGCTGACGAGACTGCCACTTTCGAGGCATGGAAGAAGGACGACCTCCATGCGAGGTGCTACATGCTAGCATTCATGGTGCCAGAGCTCGCGAGGAAGTATGAGTCTCACGTGCATGCTTATGATATCAAGCATCATCTTGAAAGCATGTACAGTGAGAATACTAGGGCATCGAGGTACTCAGCTACCAAGGAGTTGATCACCATGAGGCTGCGTGAAGGGGCTTCGGTCCACGAGCACGGTCTCAAGATGATCACTCTCCTTGAGAAGTTGGTGAGCCTTGATGTCACCCTCCCGGCCGAGCTCTCGGTGGATTTGATCCTACTGTCCCTTCCTAGTTCCTATGAATCGTTCATATTGAACTTCAACATGAACAAGCTCGATCCACCATTGGATGAGTTGTTAAACATGTTGGTCAGCTATGAGTCCACGATCAAGAAGGAGAAATCTGTTCTCCTAGTTGCTCCTTCTGCAAAGAAAGGTTCTTTACAGAAGAAAAGGAAAGAAAGGAGTTTCGGCCCGAGCAAGAAACTTGAGAAGGGCGAGTCGAGCGGAGTGAAGAATGACAAGGTCACCAAGCAAGTTGATGACGCTTGCCATCATTGTGGAAAGAAGGGCCATTGGCGACGCAACTGCAAGGCTTACCTCGATCAGAAAAGGGTACGTATTTAGTTGAAGTTAATTTGTCCATTAAATCTTCTGCTTGGGTATTGGATACTGGTTGTGGCTCACATCTTTGTAATGATTTGCAGGTCATGACAAGAAGTAGGAGGCTTAATGTGGGTGAGACCTACCTAAGAATGGGCAACGGAGCAAGGGTTGCTGCTGAAGCCATTGGGACAATTTATCTTTCTGTTTTGGATTCTAGTTTTTCCATTGTTTTGAACAATTGTTTATTTGTTCCGTCACTTATTCGAAACCTTATTTCTATTCCTGTTTTGGATAATGAAGGTTTTACTTTTGTTTTTGGAAATTCGATTTGCATTATACAAAAGGATCAAAATATGATTTGTAAGGGACAACTTATAAACAACATATATGAACTAAATCCAAATGAAATACCTATTAACGTTATATCAGCAAAACGAAAAGATATAAGTCTTAAAAAGACATGACCTAATCTAGCGTGCCAAAGTTGTGCGGGGGTTTTGATCTATCTTCTTACGTTTTGCTGATATAACATTGATAGGTATTTCATTTGGATTTAGTTCATACAAGTTGTTTAATAGTCGTCCTTTGCAAATCAAATTCTCATTCTTTTGTATAATCACTACAAGGAAAGTGTCTTTTAACAACATTCCGTGTACGTTGTTAAAATACATTGACAACGCACATACGCACATTGTTAACGGACATGTTGTTAAATGATCGGGAACTGTAACAACGTTCAACGCACGTGGTAAGCGCGTCGTTGTTTGTGATATAACAAGATGCAGTGCATGTTGTGTTATAGTTTTCACAACATTTATACGCGTCTTGTAGATAGTCTTACAACAACACACTGTTGCATCTTGTCTTCGGTTTTAACAACATTCAAGAGCACCTTGTGGTTTACTAACTATGAGACAAAAAAAAATTATTGAACAAAATACAGAAATTAGATTTTCAATTATTCTCAATGCTTTCCAATTTCCAATAAACCAAAATCCTGGCGATATACAAATATTATTAACCAATACTGTAATTGCATGCCGTTTAACCAACAAACAAAACCAATTCATTTATTGTCAAACTAATCTAAAGTCTCTTGCGCCCGAGAATGCTCATATTTTCCTCGTCTCTTAATTGATCAATGGATGTCAAATGCTCCAATACGAGTTCCTCCACAATATACTGAAAATAGCAAACCAGTTATTATTCAGGAGCCAAAAAAGGAAATAAAATTAGAAAATAAACGGCTTCAATTATTCACAACATGATTTAACTTACATTCTATACAACTCAAAAGTCATCTACTCTTCATTTTCCTTGACAAAGTTGGTTTTCCTTCAGAAATTGGTGCTTGATCATTTTCAATATATGAAAAGAAGTATGGCAACATAAAGAATTTCAAATAGACATTAAAGTATAAATATAGCAAAAACTCAAAACTGTTGGAGAGTTATGGAGAGTTAAGAAACGAATAACTCAAAGATGGTACCTTAAACATATATTTTTGTAATGGTGGTTGCAGTTGATGTATGTAGTTAGCAAGACTGATATATATTTTTTTCGCATATTTCCCTCCATTGTTGATCATATTTCACTCATCTGTCTGTCATAGTTAACTATGTCAAAAATAATGCAAAAACACGACAGTAAACAAGACACATAAATCCCTCTACATAGTACATATCATAATAAACTCTTGTACATTCAAATCCCCAAAACAAACATAAGTGTGAGTTGTTATAAAAATGAAAAAATAATAAAGATGATATACATTGATAGAAAGTAGAAACGACATATACATAATCTATTATGGCAAATTCTCAATAATTTCATGATATGCATGCAGATTATACTCGGTATGAGTGACACATATGAGTATGTCATTATGAAAAGAATTTAATCTTACCACCTGTATTCACCGTGATATATTAATTTACGAAAAAATAAAATATTAGGGCTGCTTTTTTAATGGGATAAAAGAGAAATGAGTACCTGATTGAATAGTATTTTTCTGGTGAAAAATGTTTCCAATCCCTGTATATTGATAGTTAAGAAAAGCCAGTTAATAAATAACCAAACTATATTCACTTTAAAGAAAATCATAAACAATTTAATTTATTACCTGAAAAGTTTTAGTTTCTTATATGAAAGAATTTGAAATCCGAACATGGTAGAAAATATAAATAACATCTAACACACAAACAAACTTTGAAAAGGCCAATAGAGTCGGACACTTTTGGCACAAATGAGGATATTTTTTCTTCCATTTGAGATTGATAATTGGAAAGAAAAACTAAAACAAACCTCGTCGACGTTGTTTAGTGCCTGTATGCGAATACATCATCATATTTTTCGTTCGCTTAGTCCTGCGTAAACCAAAATTATAGAATAAGAACATAATTCAAATGAATGATAGCAATCATAAATAAGAGAATCAAGTAAATGAAGCCAACCTCAAGCAGTGGTATGACTCTCCTAGAAAAATCAGATAATTGCTCACCTTCAAGGGTTTTCTGTTTATTTATCTGCATTAACAAAATTCATAACACTAAAATGAAAGAAAACGTAGTGGTAGACATAGTATACTTGAGAATGAAATAAATAATTACCCAAGCGAAGAAGGAAAGGTAAAAGAATAGAATCCTGAACCTCAAAACCCTTCACATTACAATGTACCATCAATTTCATCATAGTCTGTCATAATAAAAAGATAAAATAAAGTAAATATGTCAAGTGGTAGCCTCACATGATCATGTAAGAAACATGGAAGACAGTATTCTTTGAAATAAATAATAACATGTTGCTTTTAAATACTCGTGTAGCTACAAGTACAATCACTTGGAATTAAAAAAAAGGTAGATTAAATGCCCTACTACACAAACCCTACGCAAGAAATCCAATGTCCCAAATAGTCTCAATCACACAATTAATAACATAATACCTCATTCTTTAAACACAATCCAAGTCTGAAGTTACTCAATCTCCTGAAAAGTTAAAATAACACACATTAGACAAAAGCTACAAGAGAATTACTCTTCATTTTTTGGAGTATAAAAATTCATTTGCATAGTTTACCACACTGAGAAGCAAGACAGATACACAAAATCTACATATATGCAAATTGATTAATTTCTTTTATAAATTTAAATTCCTAAATTTAAAAACTCAAACTTGAAAACCATCCAACGAACCAAATGAAAAGGAGCAAATTAAATAGTGTAACAATAAGTTAGGCAACTATTTAGATTTTTTAATGGACCCTAACACTTCTGTCAACTCCTTAGGCATAGAAAAAGTAAAACATTGTGCACATAAGTATTACACTATTGACTTTGCTTCCTTTTCATAGTCTACAAAAAGAAGCAGTAACTTATTCCTAAAGAAAATTGACAAGTAGTCACTGGTAATCGAAAATTATTGAATCAAAGAATTTTCAAATTCCTAAATTAGTTTCAATCGGTAAAATCAATTGATTCTTCAGTCCAATTTCGCAAAAGTACCACTTCCAGCAATAACTCAAAATTTAAGAGATGCCAAGAGGAAAAAAAAAAAAAAACTACCCGACTTGTAGAGAGACTGATTGAGATCGCGGTGGTAGCGGCGATGGCTGGTCCTTGATATGATTTAAATTCAGTGACAAATAGAGATAAGGGTACTGGTGGTGGTGAGGTTGGCGCGGTGGTGCCGACCGAGGTTGACGCGGTGGTGCTGGCCGGGGTTGGCGCGGTGGTGGCTGCGAGAGGAAGAATCGTTCGGAAAGGGAAAAGATGGAGAGACGTGGTTGAGAGAGAATAAAACATCTGATGAGGAAAAAATAAAAAAGAAGTTCGAAGGAATAAAAAATAAATAAACTCATGAAGAAAGGGAAAAGAAATCTTATCATATCGCGTATTTTTTTAAATTTCAAGACACATAGGTAAATTGTTATATTTAATATTATTTTACAAATTTAAATTACGATATTCGACAACAGAATTATGAATCTTGTTATATTAAATTTAAATTACAAGACACCAATGATTGTTGTTATATTTAATATATTCAACAAGGCGCGCATGTATGTTGTAGTACAATATTTTAACAACAGAAAAACTACCCGGGTTGTAAAATACATATATTTAAGATTAACAACAACATGCATTAAAAGCATGTTGTAAAATATGTAATATCACAAAATACTTTACCAGCACGTTGTTGAATCCAAGTTGTTAAAAATCACTTTTCTTGTAGTGAATGCAAATCGAATTTCCGAAAACAAAAGTAAAACCTTCAATATCTAATACATGAATAGAAATAAGGTTTCTAATGAGGGACGGAACAAATAAACAATCGTTCAAAACAATAGGAAAACTAGAGTCCAAAACATTTAAGTAAATTGTGCCAATGGCTTCAGCAGCAACTCTTGCTCCATTCCTTATCCTTAGGTAGGTCTCACCCGCTCTAAGCTTTCGACTTCTTGTCATTAGCTGCAAATCATTGCACAAATGTGAGCCACAGCCCGTATCCAATACCCAAGAAGAAGAGTTGACAGACAAATTTACTTCAATGAAATACGTACCCTTTTCAGAACTTTTCTGCTTTAGGTAAGCCTTGTAGTTGCGGCGCCAATGTCCTTTCTTTCCACAGAGATGGCAAGCATCATCAACTTGCTTGCCAACCTTTGCCTTGGGACCCCCACTACCTTCACCCACTTCGAACTTGCTGTTTGGGAAGGGAACTCTTTCCTTTCTCTTCTTTTGGGAAGAACTCTTCTTTCCAGAAGTAGCAGGAATGAGAACAGACTTCTCTTTCTTAATGGTGGACTCGAAACTGACCAACATGTTCATCAACTCATCCAAGGGAGGATCTAGTTTGTTCATGTTGAAGTTCACTATGAACGATTCATAGGAACGAGGAAGAGACAACAGGATCAAATCCAACGAGAGCTCGGCCGGGAGGGTGACATCGAGATTCACTAGCTTTTCAAGGAGAGTGATCATTTTGAGACAGTGCTCGTGGACCGAAGTCCCTTTGCGTAGTCTCGCCGTGATCAACTCCTTTGTAGAAGCGTACCTCGATGCCCTAATATTCTCACTATACATGCTATCGAGATGAGCCTTTATATCGAAAGCATGCATGTGAGACTCATATTTCCTCGCAAGCGCGGGCTCCATGGCGGCTATCATATAGCACCTAGCATGTGTATCATCTTTCTTCCATGCCTCATAAGTTTCCTTTTCAGCATCAGTCGCTGTGGCAAGTATAGTGGCGGGAAGTCTCTCGTTCAAAACATAGAGACGACCCTCAACGGTTAGCACAAGCTTAAGACTACGCAACCAATCTAGGTAATTAGGGCCACTGAGTTTATTGTCGAGGATTGACATTATGGGATTCTTAGACATGATTATCTGAGAGGTATATAGAAGAGGATTATTAGAGATTCGCGTTAAATGATTGTTACAATTAAATGTTTGGACTTATGTTATTTAATTGTTCTCCCACTAATTTTATCGAGTTCCACTTCCCTCTAGTAGACAAACGAGAAAACTGATTTTTCTTAATGGGCTTTAGGTCCAATAGACAAATATAACCCGTAGTTAATGTAGCCCGATTATATTTGCCCAAAGGTAGATCACAATCAATCATATCCACAATATGACCGTAAATTAATTTTCCTCACACTTGATAATGACCTAAGTTAATCTCGCGAATATCAAAATCGTCGTGTGTCAAGTCTAACCTACCAATCAAAGATGCTCATAGAACTTGATTATGCCAAACTAATGCAGTCCCTAGTTAATCTAGCCGACCACGTTAATCCAACATAACCCTTTTCTATGGCTACCTTCATCACTATGTCAATTGAATTACAGCTTACTCTACCATAGCACTCCCCGCTAACACGGCTTACTGCACTACAGTAAAGGACTACACATAATCCAACCGTTGGCAGAAGGAAAGAAATAACTCAACATATTGGGTTTTTCTTTATAGCTTGAAATGATTCTTAATTTGATTAAGAATGAGGGGTTTTATTAAAAGTTTTATCTCATGAGAAGGTTCGGATTGGTCTATGTGATTCCTACATCTATGTTCTCTAAAGGTATATGGAAACGCTTATTGTCCTAAGAGGAACATACGACCTAACTACATAATTAATTACAATAATTAATTATCGGGTTTTTCAAAATAATTATAGAACCTCAACTCGCATAAATCATTCAAATAATGTCGAGGTACTATTAATTAAGTTGAACTATAATCAATATTATATTTGTGTTCTATTAATTGAAATCAATTTAACAATTTAAATTAATTAATTAATCTAACACCTATTTACTAAAATAGATGATTGTCGATCCAATTATCTAATTGGGATTAATTGAAAATAATTTTTCAAAAATTAAAATCAATTTGTTTTAAGTTTAATTTTAGAAATCTGAAATAAATTTTTTTTTTTTCTTTTTTTCAGTGAACCGGTTCGGCCCAACCGGTCTGACCGGTTCGGACCAAAGCGGTACGAATCTGCCCGGTCCAGTTGACCCAAATCAGTGGGCCGGGTCAGTCGGATCGAGAACCGGTCTGACCGACCCGAATCCACGTGGATTCGGTCAATTAGATCGCAGACAACCATCGAACCGGCCGGTTCGACCGGTTCGATCCGAACAATTTAAAAACCGACGTTTAAAAATAATTTCAGATCCGATTTTCCAATTTTAAACAATTTTAAAGCTGGAAAAATTCTAAACAATATTTCAAAAATATTTTAAACTTACGAAAACTCCCAATTACATAATACAACAATCACTACTTTAATAAATCGAACATGCATAAAATCATAGCATATTAAAACGAACGCAATTAATTGCGCAACGAGCTCTGATACCACTGTTGGGAATCAGGCACGTGTACGCAGCGGAAAACAAAAATTTTATGCGATTTAAACAATTTAAAACACATAAACACATGCCCGACAATATTGAAAACAATTAATTGCGTACCTTTGCGCTTCCAGCGAAAATAAAAACAAGATACATGCTTAATTATTTAAACAAATTTAAATCAATAAACATGCTCGCGTTTAAATCAAATAACATGCTCGAACATACAAATCAATTTCATGTAATCACATAAAATCATACAAGAACGAACATACATATTGGATTTAAACGTAAACGTATCAAGAAACATGAATTCGTGAGTTTACCTCTTGAAGCGTAAGGTAGGAGCACTAAGCAAGACGAGATTGCTACGGAAACCAATCCGTACAATCCGGGGCAGCAGCGGCGAGACGGGCCACGGCGGCGCGTGTAACTCGCGCGCGGTCTTCGGGCGGCG